CCCTGCACCCCTGAGACCCCAGTGTCCCTGCACCCCCACCCTGCACCCTTGGGACCCCTCCCAGCACTCCCTGTACCCCAACCCTGCACCCCTGAGACCCCAGTGCCCCCTGCACCCCCACCCTGCAGCCCAAGGACCCTCCGGTGCTCCCCGCACCCCTAACCAAGTCTGCAGCCCAGGTGCTGCAGGGAGACCCCGGTGTGCACCCATCCCTGCGTGCCACCCCGGCCCCAAGCCCGCCAGCAAGGGGAAGCTGGGTGTTGGGGGGTCGCACGCCCGACCCAAGGTGGGCTCTCGGGGCCAGACCCTGCTTCACACACCGTGACGGTGAAACGTGGTCCGAGAGCTTCGACCATCCCCTTCCCCGGGCTGCAGTGCCCATGGGGAGCGGCCCAGTGAGCGGCGCCGGCCATGGCCCGTGACACACGAAAATGGGTTCACAGCCCAAAATCACCACGTGCCTCAAGGGGCACCTGGGCCGTAACCACCACTCCTGGACCTCAGCTCTCCCAGCTGCTTACCACAGTTTAGTTTCCCTAGGAAGTGCTTTTTGAGGAGATTTCATGCACCTTCAGCCTGGCATGAGGCTGCGAATCCCTCTGGGTGCTCCTCGGACTTAGGCATGCCTTGGCAGCCTGGTGGCTTTGCCGTGCAAACCGAAAACGGTGTAACCACACCCCGCGTGCTCCTACCGGCGGTGCGACACAGGCACCTCTGCTTTACGGTGACTCCCTGGGACCGGAGCAGCTGGTGCTGGCCCTTCCCTGCAGCTCAAAAAAAAGTTCATCCTGAGCTTGTTCTTCCACTGAGCCTCACAAGCAGCATCCCAGGGCAGCCCTGAACGGCAGGGTGTCGGCGACAGGCAAGTGCTGGCATCAGGCCTCACCTCATTTAGTGCCCAGACACACAAAACGTTAATTTTCTTGGATATTAAACAAAACACCCATCATTGCCTGGTTCAGGGAGAGCTGTACAAATCGCATCCATGTCCCACACGGATGGGTTTCCCAGCACCGACAAATCCCCTGGTCCACGTCAGCTCAGAGGGCGACTCATCCCCAGGACACGGCCTGCGGCGCTGCTGCACACGTTGCTGAGCTCCTGGCGGCCAGTGCAGCTCCTCTCCTGACAAACCTGTTTCCCGGGCACTGCCCAGCCCGCTGAGCGTCCACCAGCGGCACTTGCGGTGAGAAACCATTAGGCAAGACCTAAATAGAGGAAGAAAAGAAGGGAGGAAAAAAAAGGGGGGAAAGAAACAGGTGGGGACTAACTGCGGCGATGCCAGCTGGCGAGCGCCATGGTGAGAGAGGAGGAGGTGAACCGCGGAAGTTCAAGCAAATCTCTCCTTCTTCCAGCTCACCCTCGGAGACATGCAGGGCCACGCTCGAAGCGCGTTTTCCTGCAAGAAGGGAGGGCTCCTGGCTCTTCCCAGTAAGGCAGCGTGGCGGCCGAGAGCCACTCCTCCGGGTTTTCACCTGCTCCTTTGGGGCAGGGGAGTGCAGCCAAGGCCATGACGGGGAAATCCTTTCCGCTGACTCAGGCGTGAGGAAAAGGTTTTCCTGCTATTAAAAAGGAAAGCGTTGATGAACGTTCCCCCCCCGCCCCAGCTCAGGATCAAAAAGTCAGGAGCCAGCACTGCAATGCTGGCGCAGAACAGCGCAAGGGGTCGGGTGAGCTGGTGGGACTGGTACAGCTGAACCCCACCTGCCTCCGGTGCACGGTGGGCGAGGGGCAATTTATTCTCTCCTAGTGCCCAGCGCCGATGCCGGCATCCAAGTACAGGCATGCCTGAGGTCAGGGAGCAGCCTCAGTCGGCTTAAAGCCTTTCCAACCCCACAAAGCGTGCCCAACCCAACCACACGTTAAACTCAAACATTTATTTTTTAAAATTAAACACATCCGAGGGTTGGTTTTGGTGGCTCCTTCCCTGCTGCAATTCGGGAGCGCAGCCCTGCCCCCCCCTTCCCTGTTCCCACCAGCACGGCAAATGCTTTCTCTCTTCCCAAAGCACAATCTCGGATGGCTTTTTGGTGGGTTTTTAGTTTGCAGGAGGCCATTCAGGGTGCTCAGCAGCATTATCCACGTTGGTACAACTGTCCTCCCCTCAAGCTCTTCATTTCTGTCTGCAGAATCAACAGCTTCAGTCACCTCCAGCCACCCAGATCAACTTCACTTCAGCCTGCAGCAACGCAAGCCCAAAGGGCCTCCCAGCAGCAAGGGAGCTCAGCCATCGGATGCCCCTGTTCTCACCAAATCTGTTTACTAGTGATTCCCTTGGGGGCTGCAGCTGAAAAATAGCATTAAAACCCAGCAGGCTCAGGTGCCACCACCTCTCTGCTGCATGGTGGGGGCTTGCTGGCAGGGAAAGCTCGAGACCTGGAGCCTCTCGCTCAGCCAGACTATAGAGGTTTGGATTATGGTTTGCTTTTTTACGTTGGTTCTGGTTACAGTGGCCTTTTCAAAGCATTGTGGGTGCTTTGCAAACACAGACATGCCCAGCGCTGCTGACAAGGCAGCAAGGCAGGAATAAGGAAGGTTGCAAAAGCAGCGCTTCGCGCTGGTGGGCGCAGCCCAGGGAAGCCCCTGGAGCAACATCATCCTCCACCTTCAATCCCCATTGCTGCTTTGCCTTCCGGAGCGTGGTTGCAGCGGGCTGAGCTCAGCTCGAAGCACCGCCAGCAGCTGATCTGGAAGGATCGAGTTGCACGGACCCGTGCCAGGGCTGGGGCTGGCTCCCCGGAGATGTGAAGGTCACCTCCTACCCGGGCTACTGTGGTAGGAGAAAAGGGGTCTGTTCCCACCTGCTTGGGTCGCAAGGTTCAGAGATGGACGTGCAGCGTTTGAGATAGATGTGCCCGCCTTCGGGAAGGTGAGGGGCAGCGGGCGGGCGAGGATGCGAGCACCCGGCCACTGCTGAGCACAAGGGTGCAAGGGGGGAAAAGCAAGATGGCTTCAAGCGCACAAAGCAGACAGGACTGCAAGAGCGGAACACTTGCTGGGAAAGGGACTCACTTTGACTAATCCTGAAAAAAAAAAAAGGCCAGAAATTGTTATTCCCAAGTGCAGGGAAGCAGAAACACTGCAAATAATCCGGTCTGAGCTGCAAAGCTGAGGTCAGGCAATAAGTGGCGATGAAGGAGGTGATGTTCTTCCTCTTGGGCATCGCCCACAAAAAGAACAGGCACCACCAAACCACCCTTGCCCCAGCCCTGCAGGGCAGCCCCAGCCCTGTGGCCCCACTTGCCGTGATGTGGCCGGTGGGGTGGGCAGGATGGGTGCTGGGGGTCCTGCCTCTGCATTGCCCTTTGTCCTCCTGCAGAGCCTGGGGCCCCCCATGCCCATGCAGCTGCTGCTGGTGCTGGGGCAGGCGCTGTGCCCGCTGCTGCCACCACCCACGGTGACAAAGCCGCTTTGTGCAGGGCCAGCCGGGCACATCCCCAGCCTCCTCCACACCCCAGGCCCCCGGCATCCCCCCATGTTGCCTTCTCTCCCTCAGGTCAGGGAGGAAGGCAGGGCCACACCAGGACGGGGCACAACCCCAGTGATCCCCCACCTCCTCCTCATCCTCCCACCACCTCCGTCTCCTTCATCCCCCCCAAGACCTCCCAGCAGGTCCCAATCCCCCCAAAACCTCCCGCCCCACCGGGACCGACCCTTCCCTGGGGCGGGAATGTGGCAGCCCAGGCTCTCCGGTGAGGTTGAGTCCCGCTGTGCCACCTCCCCCAAGGAGTCACGTCACCCCGGTAGATCTCCCAGCCCTTTTATTCACTTGGCAGCCAGCAGCCATCACATCCATTCAGCAAGAAAACCGGGGTCCAGGCAGCTGCGAAACCTCGCGGCATTCCCCTTCATAGGGTGAGCGATGTGGTTGGGGACAGTTTAATCCTCCACGCTGTTTCCAATCCCAAAATAACCCCTGGAGGCACAAATCTCCTTGTGGAGGGTCTTCTGAATCACAGCCTTCAGTTAAAGGATCCTCTCCATTATCTTGTCTGAGCAGTTAAGAAATACCCTCCTGATCGTATCGCCACACTCCCCCCTCCCAAAAAAGCCCCCAAGCAGTTAAAGCAGAAATTCAGTGCACAGAAAATGTGAGCTGGGCAGGAGAAAAGAGTCCACATGAAGGAGGCGAAGCCTTGCATCTTGCAGCTGGGGGGCAGGTCCCAAGGCTCCTTTCCCCAGGCAGTATTCTTCTGTCCCTTCGCTCCTGCCTTGCCTCCGCAAGAGCCCCGAGCCAGTTTCCATTGGCCGGAGGAGGCACCTAGCCATGGCAAGCTGGGCGGCGACCGAATTTCAAAGAAAAGGCCAGCACCGCGGGTTCCGGGCCCTAGGGCAAGTGGCAAAGCTGCTTCCCGGGGGATAACTCCAACGCCCCAGCAGGCAGAGCCTGAGCCACCCCCGAGGCTGCCCCCGCCTGGGGATCCCCGCTCCCTCCGGGGCAGAGTGCGGCCCGTGCCTCAGTTTCCCCAGAGGGAAAGGTGCCCACAGGGAGTGGCACCAAAAGCGTGGGGGGCCTGGGGATTAGTGACATGGTCCCTCCCGTCCACCCTCCTCCCTGAACAACCTCCTTCGCCATCAGCAGCCCTCCGCAGGGGTGGGCAAGGAGCCCCCCACTATGCCCCAGCAGGACCCAAGCCCCCTGCCCCACGCCCGCCTTCAAGGGCTCTCAGCCAGGCTGGGGGCCGAGCTGCTGCCCGGGCTGGGCCAGCACCCCCAGGCCCCTCAGCTTCCTCTCGAAGAGGCCGAGGTGGGGGGCCGGGGGGGGCCCAGCCCCCTCCTCGCTGGGGGGCCCGCGGCTCTCCAGCCGCAGCAGCTCCTCAAGGTGGTAGGCGAAGGCCGAGACCTGGAGCAGGACGGCTGCCAGCGCCCGGCCCAGGGCAGCATCGGCCTCACCCAGCTGCTCCCGCTGCTCCTCCAGCATCTGGGCCAGCAGGGCCCGGAAGGCCCGGTACGCTGCCAGGTTCTCCAGCAGCCGCTGGGTCCCCGTCTGCTCATCCCAGCGCTCCGCCGCTGCCGCCGGCACCCCCTCCACCACTGCCACGCTGGCCGAGGCGTCCAAGCCTTGCCGCTCCACCTGCAGGGGCGAGAGCAGCCAGGGATCAGCGGTGGCAGGAGAAACGGGGGGACCCCCCGCCCCAAGCCCCGCTGGCACCGGCTCCAGAGGGCCCCGATTCAGCTTCAGTGCTGGCCAGGAGGCGTTCGGAGCAGTGCAAGGCCAGGCGATCAAGGTTTGCCCAAGCATCAGCCAGCAGCATTTCACCCCCCATCTCTACCATGGGTCAGAGCCCTCGCGCCCCAGCACGGCTGCCAGGAGACCCCCGGATCCCGGTAGCGGCGGGCCCCCCGCCCGGGGCCCCCGCCCCCCCGGGCGCCGGGGGGGGGGGGGGCAAAACAC